ACACACACACACACACAGAATCCAAAGCAGGCTCTAAGCTCTGAGCTGTCAGCACAGAGCCTGATGTGGGGCTCGAACTCGTGAACTGCAAGATCATGACCTGAGCTGAAGTCGGACACTTAATTGACTGAGTCACCCAGGTGTCCCTAAAAGAGTTAATCTTAAAAGTTCTTGTCATAAGAGAAAAAAAATTGTAACTGCACTTAACGGCTGTTAACTAGACATACTGAATTTGCAGTATATACATATATTGAAGGAATATGGTGTACATCTGAAACTGATAGAACGTTATACATTAATTATAGTTCAATAAAAGATAAAGTTCAATTTTGGGGAAAAAGTCTTCAGTTTTCACTTAGGTTTACTTACTATACTGCAGGTAGGAAATACAGCAGAATGCTCAAAAGTATGAATTGTGCCTTAGTTTGCCCATTTGTAAGGTAGTGATAATAGTGTCTATATCACATAGGTCTGTTGTAACAGCTAAATGAATGAGTTTGTAAATCATTTAGAACAGTGTCCAACCACAGTATTTTAGATAGATTTTCCTTTATACAAATACGACAACAGAAGTCTTATTTTTGCCTCAGAGACTCTTATAAATACTCAAAGAATCTTATGCAGTATACAGTTGGTCTGTTATGTTGGTAGCCTCTACTAAAGATTTATGTGAACAAATGGTGGCTTAAACATTAAGTGCCTATATTGTGGCTTAAATTGCCACCGGGTGCAAATAAATGTTCCTATCACCTTTTGCCCCGAGCTGCTTGTGGACTTTATAACTCTATTGGTGATGCAGTGAAGCTTGAGATGCATAATGCTGCGTGCCAAGCCTCAGGAGTGAGACTTTTACATTTGTTTGCCCATCTCGAGGCTTGAGACATAGTTTGTGTCTGTTCAGCCTTGCAGTCCCTTCTTGGTGCTTGGAGCGGCTGCTTATATTATTCTCCTTGCCTCTTCAGCTTTTTAGGTGGTGCCTTTTTCCTTCTTTTTTTCTTGTTATTTCCTTCATCTATTTCTCTCTCTTTTCTTTGGAGTATGGCATCTTAAATCATCTTGGGACAGTGGTAGCATTGTTTTCTTCTGGCTGGCAAACTTAAAAACCTCAGCAACTATTTCATTGACATCTTTTGTCTCCTGCTTTTCTTCATGGTACTTGTATTTTGCAGTTTCCTTCTTTACAAGTTAGAAGGTCTAACTGACCAACATGTCTAGTCCAGTGTCCCTTTGAATCCACCTACTTCTGGCTTCCCAGCCCACTACTTCTTGAGTCCAGGCCCAGGACTTAGTCCAGCCTCCATAACGGTCGCTGTATATGCTCACTTGGCTCCCTCCATTTCATTTTCCGCAAGACTACTGTGTTCATCTTTGTGAACTACAAATCTGCTCAGTACTAAACCTCTTTAAAATTCTTCAGTGACTGCTCATTTTCCTGAGAATTAAAAGCTAGAGTCCTTAACGTAGCTTTCAAGTTCGTTTATCATCTTGTCCCTCTTCGGTGAGTTTGCCATTTCTTTACCCACGCATTTGTGCTTCAGCAGTAGTGCTTTTCTGTTTTCACAGTGTGGAGCCGTCTTCTTCTCTTCCCTTGGATTTTTAAGCATGTTGTTCCTTTAGCTTAGACAATTCCATTTTCCAAACTACTACTCCCCGCCCTCCCCCTTCCCCCCCACCAAATCTTTTCTACCTTAGACTCGATGACTTTCACTGAAGAACCTTTTTCTATAAGTTGCTTTTCCTGTAGGATCCCATAGCATTTACCACATTCTGTTAAGTATCTGGTCTTACCCAGGTGATGGGCTGTTCGAGGATAGGAGGTCTTCCGTGTTTTCCATACCGAGCAGGCACAATTTCTGACACAGGGAAGGCAGGAAGTAAGTATTTAACTTTTGAGTTTAGGACGTTGGAGTGCTTCGATGACTATGGTTGTGTTGCATAGACATTGTGTTCTGCTATTACTGCTTTATAATAAAAACATTCTTAAAGTAATGAAAAAAGCCTTATTCGGTATATCTCAAGCTTACAAATATTAGTTTGCTTATACTCATGGAGAAAATTCATTATAAAGTTATTTAAAATATTTAAGCATAATTATTTCCTTTATTTAGTTACAGCCAAGTTCTACTTCTGAATCTATGGATCAACTGCTAAACAAAAATAGAGAGGGAGAAAAATCAAGAGATTTGGTCAAAGACAAAATTGAACCAAATGCTAAGGATTCTTTCGTTGAAAATAGCAGCAGCAATTGCACCAGTGGCAGCAGCAAACCGAGCAGTCCCAGCATTTCCCCTTCAGTCCTCAGTAATGCGGAGCACAAGAGGGGACCTGAGGTCACATCCCAAGGGGTTCAGACTTCCAGTCCGGGATGCAAACAAGATAAAGATGATAAAGAGGAGAAGAAAGATGCAGCTGAGTGAGTAGACCTCGAATTGAGCACATCCTGTTATTTGCTTAAATGTTTCTTAAAGGGTACAGGGCCCTTCAGCTCAAGAATCTGTCTGGACATTTGGACCTGTTTTGTAGGTGGACCTCAAGTTACAAACAGCTGGGCTAAACCAGTGATGTCTTAAGTAAATCAGGTCTTTGCACTCTGCACTTCTCTTTTCCTTCCCCATTTTTGTTTCCCATGGTCAAAAACTAGACTAAATTAAGAAAGTTTTTTTTTCTGTAAATGTACAAGGAGTTGAAAAATTACTGGCTTTTGGGAATTCTGTCCCCTGGCCGCTAGTCAGTACCCACCTCCTGGCTCTGCTGCTGAGACCGGGAACTGTCACTGCCGAGAAGAGGAAGAAGTATCTGGTGCCCCTACTTGGAATTCAGCATGTTTTCTATCATAAACAGTGTTTTACTTAATGGTTAGATTTGTTAAGATAAACTTAATTCTGCACATTCAGTGTGTTATCAATTGAATGGATCTTTGTGGGCTAGCCTCAGAACCTAATCCAAGCTAACCACTGTTAATTGATTTGTTCTGGTCTCCATACAGTCCAGTTATGGCTGAACTTTTGGAGTGCGGCTTGTTGATCAAAGAGTGCTGCTGCTCAATTTGAAGCAAAAGTTTTTATTTCTTAGAGTCATGATTTTTCCCAAGGCATGTCACGGAGGAAACGCTTTGTCACATTAGAAAATACTGCATGCTAGGGGGCACCTGGCTGGCTCAGTCAGCAGAGGGTGCGACTCTTGATCTTGGGATTGTGAGTTTGAGCCCCATGTTGGGTGCAGAGGTTACTTAAAAATAAAATCTTAAAAAACAAACAAACCCACATGCTAGAGAATTGGTGTATTAGGGATTGCTTTTAGGAATATTTTGTCTTATCAGTTTAAATATTTGTTGATTGCCTCTGAGAGAAGAACTATATATTAACATTTTTTTTTTTTAGTTGCCCCTTTTTGGCCGATCCTTATCAGATTAAAGAGTGGGAAATTCGTGCATATGTTTTAATGAAGAGGATTAGTGATTCAGTAAGAATTGTTTAATGTATGTTCAGCCGTTTAACAAAACAGGTATGGAAGACTTGAGAGAAACATAAGTTCCATGCAGATTTTACTGGCCCTTTTTAATTTTCCCCTGGTTTAGGCAAGTGAGAAAATCAACACTGAATCCTAATGCAAAGGAGTTTAACCCTCGTTCCTTTTCTCAGGTAAGTTTGTTTCTTTCTTTGAAGTAATCTAGTCTCGAAAATGATAAATGTAGTAGTAGTAGGATTTCCCCCATACCTGCCATCTAAAGTCAGTTATAGGATGCTGAAAAACCTGTAGTTTCTGTTCCTTTTTCTGTGGTCATTTATGAATACTTCTGAGCCATGGAAAAGATTCATGTTTTGTTTTGTCATCAGTTAGATGTGATCTGGGGCAAATCTTTGAATCTTCCTCGCTGGCTGGCTAGCGAGGCTCTCAGGTTTATAGATGAACTATTATTCTGTTAAATTTGTAAGAAGATATTTCTTTACTTTTAGAAACACTTTCCAGGGGGCACCTGGGTGGCTCAGTTGGTTAAGCATCTGACTCTTGATCGGGTCATGGTCTCACAGTTTGTGAGTTTGAGCCCGACATCGGGATCTGCGCTGACATCGCAGAGCCTGCTTGGGATTCTCTGTCCTTCTCTCTCTGCCCCACCCCTGATGGCTCTCTTGTTCTTTCTTCTCTCTCTCTCTCTCTCTCTCTCTCTCTCAAAAATTAAGTAAACTCTAGGGGTGCCTGGGTGGCTTTGTCAGTTAAGCGTCCAACTTTGGCTCAGGTTGTGATCTTGCGGCTCATGGGTTCGAGCCCCATGTCAGGCTCTGTGCTGACAGCTCAGAGCCTGGAGCCTGCTTCGTATTCTGTGTCTCCCTTTCTCTCCACCCCTCTCCCACTCACGCTCTGTCTCTCAAAAATAAGTAAACAATTAAAAATAATTTTTTTAAATTAATTTAAAAAAGATGTTAAAAACTTTCTCCAGTTCCTTAAGGATCACTTATTTTTAGGTGCTTAAAAAGCTGTCATTTTTAGTAGTATTATTGATGTTGGCAAATTATTGTAATAAATGAGTTGGCAAATTTCATTTCCTACATAACTTTTTCCTTTTATTTTAAACATATGGAAGTTTATTTTCTAAAGTTTTTTTCATTAAAAGGGACTAATTAAAAGTGAGTAGATCTTAGAAAGATGAGAAGATCAGTTTTCAGATTGCAATAATAGCTTTTCATCTGAAGATAGTTGATTTTTATTTTTATAGCCAAAGCCTTCTACCACCCCAACTTCACCTCGTCCTCAAGCACAACCTAGCCCATCTATGGTGGGTCATCAGCAGCCAGCTCCAGTTTATACTCAGCCTGTCTGTTTTGCACCAAATATGATGTATCCAGTCCCAGTGAGCCCAGGCGTGCAAGTAAGTCCTAGAATTTAATGTGCACTTACCCTCCCTAGTTATTTGTATTTGACCCCAAGCGCTCTCTAGGTATGGGGTGACTTGAGGTAGTGATGGCGAAACAAAAATACTTGAAAAGAGGAGGCATGTGATGGCATGGTATGTTTTTAGTATAAAATGTGAGAATGTTTTCTGGTGAGAAAGAAAGATGGTTTAGATTTACTGGTTTGGGGTTTGTCCTTTTAGGTGTGAGTGTGATTTTATTTTTTAATGACTCCTGGCAAACCAGGAGACCTCAGAACTAGCTCTCTAACAATATACCAGTAAGAGAAAATAGTAAAATATATTCTTACTATCATAAGAGCCTAATTTTCTTTCTTTTTTTTTTTTTTTTT